TGCCCTGCTCGCGCGTGGCGCACATCGAGCGCACCCGGAAGCCCTACAACAACGACATCGACTACTACGCCAAGCGCAACGCGCTGCGCGCGGCCGAGGTGTGGATGGACGGCTTCAAGTCGCACGTGTACATGGCCTGGAACCTGCCCATGACCGTGAGCCGCCGGGGCTCCCCTCGGGACAGCGCCCCCGGGAGGCCGGGGCGGGGCACCCCAGATCCCGCTCCCCCTCCCGGCGGAGGCCGGACCCCGTGCCCAGCCCTGTCCCCTCCGCCCCAGAACCCCGGCGTGGACTTCGGGGACGTGTCGGAGCGGCTGGCCCTGCGCCGGAGGCTGAAGTGCCGGAGCTTCCAGTGGTACCTGGAGAACGTGTACCCCGAGATGCGGACCTACAACAACACCCTCACGTACGGAGAGGTACCGCCGCCGAAGGCCCGCCAGGCAGCTCCCCCTTCTGGTCCTGACACCCCAGTGCCCGCCCCCCCCCCCGCCCCCCGTATGTTCATGGACGTCCCTGTGCACTGTGTCCCTGCTCGGCTGGGATGGAGGCACGTCTGTCTCTGCCTCCCCAGGGACAAGCAGGGCCATCCTTACAGATCACACCACTTCTCCTCCGCACCCCTCACCCCCCATCTGCCCAGAGCAGACCCCCGGCCTCGCCTCGGCCTCGCACCCTTCGCCACGGGCTTCTCCTGTGGATCCCGGCTGCAGGTGAGAAACAGCAAAGCCAGCGGCTACTGCTTGGACCAGGGAGCGGAGGACGATGACCGAGCCATCCTCTATCCCTGCCATGGGATGTCCTCCCAGGTGGGGGTGCGGGGCCCCAGCCGCGGGGGGGGGGGCGGGGGAGCACTGGGCGTCCGACGCCACCCTGGCTGGGAGGCCAGGCGCTGCGGGTGCGGGTGGGGCTCCCAGCAAAGTTCCAGGGAAGAGGCTGAGGCTTCCCACAGCCCCGCGCCTGTTTTTAAACTTAAAAAAAAAAAAATATATATATATATGTATATATATATATATATTTATATATATATATATTTTTTTATTGATTTTTTTACAGAGAGGGAGAGGGACAGAGAGTTAGAAACATTGATGAGAGAGAAACATCGACCAGCTGCCTCCTGCACGCCCCCCACTGGGGATGTGCCCGCAACCAAGGCACATGCCCTTTATCGGAATCGAACCCGGGACCCTTCCGTCCTCAGGCCGACGCTCTATCCACTGAGCCACACCGGTCAGGGTTCGCCTGTTTTTATAAATAAAGCTTTATCGGCACACAGCCAACCTCTGACGGAGCAGGACAGGCTGGGAGCAGGGCTGCCCCTGGGCAGGCTCCCCCCACTGGAGCTCAGGGTCACCCTGCTTTCCCGTCCCCCCCACCCCCCCCCCAGCTCGTGCGCTACAGCACGGAGGGCCTGCTGCAGCTCGGCCCCCTCGGCTCCACCGCCTTCCTGCCCGACTCCAAGTGCCTGGTGGACGACGGCAGGGCCCGCACGCCCGCGCTCAGGAAGTGCGAGGAGGTGGCCCGGCCGGCCCAGCGGCTGTGGGACTTCACCCAGGTCCGGGGGCCGGCGGGTCAGCGGGGGGGGCCGGGAGCCGGCGGGATGGCTGAGGGTGTGTGTGTGTGTGTGTGTGTGGAGGGCAGAGGAATGGGCAGCCAGCCCTCACCCCGGACGCGCCCACGCCGGGCCCAGGCGCCCCGCTGACTCGGTCTCCCCGCCTCGCGCAGGGCGGCCCCATCGTGAGCCGGGACACGGGCCGGTGCCTGGAGGTGGAGATGTCCAAGGACGCCCACTTCGGGCTGCGGCTGGTGCTGCAGCGGTGCTCGGGGCAGAAGTGGGCGATCCGCAACTGGGTCAAGCACGGCCGGCACTGACCCCCGCAGGCCCCGGCCCACGCAGCCCCGGAGGCCTGGGCAGGAGCCTGCCCTTCCCGCTGGCGCCGGGTCCGAGCCCTGAGGACGCAGCTGTGCTCACACCCGGAGCTCTGGGACCCGGCTGAGCCCACGCCCGAAGCTCTGAGACCCGGCTGTGCCCACGCCCGGAGCTCTGAGACCCGGCTGAGCCCACGCCCGGAGCCCGGGGCCCGGCTGTGCCCGAGCCCGGAGCCCGGGGCCCGGCTGTGCCCACGCCCGGAGCTCTGAGACCCGGCTGAGCCCACGCCCGGAGCCCGGGGGCCGGCTGTGCCCACGCCTGGAGCCCAGGGCCCGGCTGTGCCCACGCCCGGAGCCCGGACCCTGCTGTGCCCACGCCTGGAGCTCTGAGACCCGGCTGTGCCCACGCCCGGAGCTCTGAGACCCGGCTGAGCCCACGCCCGGAGCCCGGGGCCCGGCTGTGCCCGCGCCTGGAGCCTGGGGCCCGGCTGTGCCCACGCCCGGAGCCCGGACCCGGCTGTGCCCACGCCCGGAGCTCTGAGACCCGGCTGTGCCCACGCCCGGAGCCCGGACCCGGCTGTGCCCACGCCCGGAGCCTGGGGCCCGGCTGTGCCCACGCCGGCTCAGGCAGGGACCTCACCTGGGCCTCGGGGGTCGGCCGGTCCTGACCCTGGGACAGTGGAGAGGGGGCCCATGGGCAGTGCTGATGCCGCTCCGGCTCCAAACCACGTGCCTTTTCCCCGGTTTTCCTGTCCGGCAGCCCGGACGGCCGCCCTCTGCATGCACCGCCCTCACGCCCCCAGAACTGCCCGTTGGGGAGGCGGCGGGCTGGCCTCCTGCCGTGCCCACCCTCCTGCGCCTGCCCCGTCGGACCCGAGGGAGCAGAGCTGAGAGGGGAACCGAGACCGGCCTCAGGGTCCCGGAGACGGGACACTCCAGCCCAACGGACAGCGACTCGGAGGACACGGGCCTGCGTCTCGTCCACGGGTCTGAGCTGGCCAGGGCCCAGGGCCGGGTCCCTGTCCCACGTCTCCTGCTCCCCAGTCCCCCTCCAGCCCGGACCAGGAGTCAGCCAAGGAGGACCCACAGCCCCTCGCCTGTTTTTATAAATAAAGTTTTATCGGCACACGGCCACGGCCACCTGCCTATGTATTGTGCCTGTAGCCTCTTTAAAAAAAAAAAAAAAAAAAATATATATATATATATATATATATTTTATTGATTTTCCATAGAGAGGAGGGAGAGGGATAGAGTCAGAAATATCGATGAGAAAGAAACATTGATCAGCTGCCTCCTGCACGCCCCCCACTGGGGATGTGCCCGCAACCAATGTACATGCCCTTGACCGGAATCGAACCTGGGACCCTTCAGTCCGCAGGCCGACGCTCTATCCACTGAGCCACACCGGTCAGGCCTTCTTACTCTCTGGACAGCGTCCCTTGCAGAAAGGGAAGTCGTTCATTCCAGTGGCTTCCAGCTCCCTGGGGGCCCTAACCCCCCTTCTGCCCCCCCAGCCCCCAGCCCCCCGGTTCCTGGCGTCCTGCTGCTGGGAGAAGTGCCCCACTTTCATCTTCTCAGAGAATCCCGCCGGCTGGCTCCAACCCGAACCCCAAAAAGCCCAGCGGCAGCGGGGAGGGGCGATGGTGGCCACACGCTGGCCCGGGAGGCCCCGGACTCAGAGCCCCTGACGCCGGAGAAGCAGCACCCACGGGAGGGGAGCCGCGTCCCCGACGCCCGAGTTAATTAAACCGCGACCAGGGAGCCGGCCGTCACCGCCCGGGACAAACGGCGCGAAGCCTCATCTGTTATTCCTCTCGCTCTTTAAGCGCCCGCCAGCCGTTCCGGAATTAAATTAAGCAGCTTATCTGCGCTAATGCAGACGGACAGGGCCATCTGTCTCCGCACCGCCACCGCCCGCGAACAGCAGTCATTTCCGCACCGCGTGGGGGCGCCGGGCGGGAGGGGTGGAGCTCGGGCCCGGCCCATCCATCCCGGGGTCACTGACTGTGGGCTGGGAGTTCCCGCTTTGCTCCTTTATTTTTAATTGATCTCAGAGGGAAAGGAAGAGGGAGAGATGGAAGCATCAGTGATGAGAGAGCATCATGGACCGGCTGCCTCCTGCACGCCCCCCACTGGGGATGGAGCCTGCAACCTGGGCCTGTGCCCTGGACCCGGAACCGAACCGTGACCTCCTGCTTGGAGGTCAGCGCTCCACCGCTGAGCCACATGGGCCGGGCTCCAGCACCTCCTTCTCCTCCAGGCCTCCCGGCAGGACTGTCCTCACCGGCCGACCCTGACCCTCTCGGATGGTGGTCGAGCTCTGGCCGGACCCCATCTGCTGGAAGGAGGGCCCCCACCCCCGGAGCCACTGGAGCCGCGACTCCAGGCCTGGGACACAGAGCAAACCTAGGCGCACTGCCAAGCGGGGCTCTCTGACCTGTGACCCCAGGAGCCCAGCTGCAGCTTAGCTCAGCCCGAGCAGAGGCCACACGCTCCTGAGTCCCAGCGATCAGACGTGAAAGCTGGCCCCTGCGGCTCCCGCTCTGCCCCATGGCCTGTGCCCTCAGGACAGGCTCCACCTCCTGAGCAGCGGGGTCCTGGGACCAGCACACTGGACGCGACAGCCGTCACGGAGGGCACACGGCTCCTCTGCTGGGCAGGGGCCTGGCCTCACCAGCCCCTGCAGGGGACACGCTGTCCTCACGGCCGAGGGGAAGCGGCCGCCCCACCCAACGCTGCAGGACCTGCCTCCTGGCATTGACGTGTCTGCAGCCGATGCCCTGACAAGCACTTGAGCATTGAGTGGCAACTCCTCATGGCTGGGCTGCATCCATCAGGGGACCCTCCCCCACAGCAGGTGACCGGTCAAGACCAGCCTCTGGGATGTTTCTCATAAAATGCTGGACCCAGCGTCACAGGTTGGGGGTGCCCAGCAAGAGGCCTCCCCGGCCCCTGGAGGGCCCCTAACCCAGCACGGCAGGGGTCTGTACCTTGGTCATAGAAGCAAACTCCACTTTACTTTAAAATATATTTTTATTGGTTTCAGAGAAGGAGAGAGAAACATCCAGAGGAGAGAATCTGGGGGCTGCCTTCTGCACTCCTGCCACTGGGGATCGAGCCCCTAACCGGGCCTGTGCCCTGACTGGGCATTGGACATGACCTCCTGGTTCCCAGGTCGAACTCAACCTGAGCCATGCCAGCACCCCCCCCCCTCCCCAGCATCTTAAGCTCCGCCTGGATGTGATGAGGTGGGCCTGTGGTCAGGGCCCGCCCTGGGCTGGCGGGTGTGGAGGGGAGATGTCTGCTGTTGGGTTCAGACCGAAAAGGGCATTTGACACAGGAGCTGGCTACGGGGGACAGGACGCTGCTGGGCCTCACGGAGGGGAGTGCCCAGCGCCCAGGGCTGCTCCGTGTGGGCCCGTCAGCTCGGGGGTGCAGTCCTGGCAGGTGGGAGGGAGGACCCCTGTGCCGTCCCTGCTGACGGCAGCCTGTGGCAGCCCCGGGGGAGCCAGCCCCCGCCTGCCCCAGCCCCCCCGGCAGGGGAGTCAGCCGAGGGAGAAGTGCTGGGCGCAGAGGTCGCCCCGCCGGCCCAGCAGGCCCTGCGGGGGGATGAACTCCAGCGGCACCGCCTCGGGCCACTTCTTCTTCAGGTCCCGCTCGAAGACCTGCGGGCGGACGGGCGGATGGACGGACGCTCTCACCGGAGCCGAGCCGCCCCCACCCGGCCGCCCGGCCCTCACCTCGAAGGCGGTGAGCTCCAGCAGGGGCGCGATGCTGGCCTCGGGCAGGGACAGCGCCTGGCTGATGACGCTGGCGGCCTTGGACACCTCGGGGTGGTAGTGCCGCTGCAGTGCCTGAGGGAGAGGGGCAGCTGCAGACCAAGGCCAGGCGCCCGGTGACCGGGGGCGGGCGGACGGGGCGCGCTCACCTGCAGCTCCCACAGCGAGCTCTCCAGGGCGCGGCTCTGCGCGGGGTCCTCCTCGTCGGGGTCGTAGGGGTCGGCGTCCAGCTCTAGGGACAAGACAGACGTGTGCCCTGTGCTCCCTGCCACCCGCCCCGCACCGGCCTCCCCGGCCGGCCGGCACTCACCAGGGCCCCGCGGCCGGTGCACCAGGACGCGGCAGGCCGGGTGCCGCCGAAGCAGGTTGCAGATGAAGGGCAGCACCATGAGCAGGGCCTCGGGGGGCGCCGTCAGGGCCAGGCGGGCCAGGCGCTTGGCGAAGGCAGCCACCAGGTAGGCGGGCAGGTGGCTGGGGAGAGCGGGCGTGAGAGCCCGCCCCGCACACCGGCCCCTCCGGCCCCCCCCGCCCCGCCCCCGGACGCCGGTGCCTCCGCCTACGAGGACGACAGGAAGAGGTCGGCCAGCTGGAAGAAGCGGGCCCGGTACTTGACGTGGAAGACGGACGGGTCCAGGAGGCCGTAGAGCTTGCGGTAGAAGTCGGGGTACTCCCTGGGGGGGGAGGGGTGAGCGAGGCGTGTGGGGCAGCAGGTGGGGGAAAAGCAGGGCCCCAGGGAATCACAGCCTTCTCCCTGCCCCAGGAGCTTCTGAAGCTGCCTGACCCCTGGGGAGGGGAGGGGGTCAGGGACAGAGAGGCCAAGGGGAAAGGAGAGGCCTGCACTCCCCAGATGCACACTCACAGGTTGTGCTCATGAATCAGGATGAAGAGTCCGTTCAAGGCCAGAAGGCTGATGGCGCCCCCTGCAGACAGACACAGCACGGCGCTGCAGCCCGCCTGCACCGAGACCCCCAGACCAGTCCGGAAAGTGGAGGCCAGGCTCCAGGCCCCCCCGCGCCCCCCTCGGTCTCACGGGGAGACAAGGACCGGCGCCACCCGGTCGGGCCCCTCTGGGTGCCCCGCTCACCGACGTCGTAGGCGCGGGTGAGGAAGTCGATCATGAGGCTGGGCTGGGCCAGGTGCGGCAGGATGGACTCGTGCATGATCACCAGCACCTTCTTGTAGAGGCTGAGGGGCAGCTGGGGGGACGGGAGGGGGGGAAGCGGTCAGGGTCCCGACTGCCGCCCCGCACAGGCCAGGCGGACTGGAGCCCCCTCCCTCCCGGCCTACCTTGTGCTTGAGGAAGCCGAGCCACATGAGCTGAAAGGCCTTCCTGTGCTCCTGGTGAGGAAAGGGTCCGAGGCTGCACCAGGGCTCCCTGTCCCCCCAGTCCCGCCCCTGCCTGCCACGTGGAAGCTGGAGCACCCAGGCCCGAACCCGACCCTGTCCAGCTGTCCGGGCAGCCATGCGGAGTCCACCCCCCCCAGCAGACATGTGACGCTCAGGCGGCCTGGGACCTCCTTGCCCCCGGGGTCCTGAGTGACCAGGGGCTGTCCAGGCCAGGAAAGGGGGTTCCCTTCTCTCCAAGTCCCCCACCTGCCGCCTGAGGCTGCACCCCAGGACGGGCCTGTTCCCAGGGAGGCCCACCCCCAGAGTCTCACCTTCAGATGAGTGACCTTCCACTTGTCCGACAGCTCTGCCAGGGAGAGGGGAGAGGCGGTGTGAGGCCGGGGGTGCAGGGCCTGGTGCCCGCCTGCAGGCCCGGCCGGCGGCTCACCTGCGTGCTTCACGTAGAAGTTCGCCACGTCGCTCTCCTGGCGGGGCAGGCTCACGGCGGACAGCAGCGTGAACACGTTGTTCCAGAAAGCGAGGGGCACCTGCGGGGGCCGGGCCTGAGCTCCTGGGCTCCGCCCGCCCCCTTCCCTACCCCCCCAGCTGCGGGGCTCCGCCCCCCTCCCCCAGCTGCGGGGCTCTGCCTCTCCCGCCCCCAGCTGCGGGGCTCCGCCTCTCCCTCCCCCAGCTGCGGGGCTCCGCCTCCCCTCCCCCAGCTGCGGGGCTCCGCCCCCCCTCCCCCAGCTGCGGGGCTCTGCCTCTCCCTCCCCCAGCTGCGGAGATCTGCCTCTCCCTCCCCCAACTGCGGGGATCTGCCTCTCCCTCCCCCAGCTGCGGGGATCCGCCTCCCCTCCCCCAGCTGCGGGGCTCCGCCCCCCCTCCCCCAGCTGCGGGGCTCCGCCCCCCCTCCCCCAGCTGCGGGGCTCCGCCTCTCCCTCCCCCAGCTGCGGGGCTCCGCCCCCCCTCCCCCAGCTGCGGGGCTCCCGCTCACCTCAGCGTGGGCGTCGGCGACCCTGGCCACGGTGTCCGCGGCCGCCCGCATCGTGTGGTAGCGCAGGTCGTGGTGCTCCAGGTACGAGCAGAACTGGGAGAGGAGCAGCGAGCAGTCCTCCTCCGGGGACAGCAGGCCGTCCACCACCGCCTGGGCGCGGTGCGGAGCGGGCAGGTGAGACTTCTCCATCCCAGGATGGCCCAGCCGGCCGAGCCCACAACCAGAGACGCCCCGGGAGCGCCTCCCCGAGGCTGGACGGGCCGGAGCGTCCCAGCGACAGCCTCCGCCCTGGCTCCAGCGGGACCCGGCCCCTCACCTTGAAGAGCTGGCGGGGAAACAGGTAGCTGCCCTCCCACTTGGGCTTCTCCAGGGGGTGCGCTCCTTCCAGCTGCACGAACTTCATGAGGGTGCCGAGGGCCAGCTCCTGGGGGCGGGGTGGCCGCGGTGCCCCGACAGCTCGTCACCTTCCCGTGGACCGGCCCACAGAGCCCCCCAACTTCAGCCTGACTGTTCCCCCCCCCCCCCAAAACCAGCCAAAAAGGAAGCAAGCGGGGGAAAATCAAGGGCCCAACCTCCATGTATATGTGTGTGTGCATAGGGGGGGCTCGTGGCTGGGGTGCGGGGAACACTCAGGGCGAGCAAGGTCGGGGTCCCCGAGCCTCACCTTGACCTGGAAGGAGGGATGGGCCAGGAGCTCCGCCAGGCGGTTGCAGCAGCTCCGGTAGCGATGCCGCATCCACACCTTGTACTTCCGGTTGGCCCCCTGCGACCCTGCCGGTGGGCGAGGGGGGCGGGGGTCAGCCCACGTCCATGCCCTCTGCCCTCTGCCCAGCCCAGTCAGACACACGAGTGGAAGCCACAGCCCCAGACCAGCCTGCCCCCCAACGAGAGAGAGAGAGAGAGAGAGAGAGAGAGAAACACCCATTCCAAGGGTGAAGAGGTTTTTTGGGGGCTCATCACGTCTCCCTCCAGCCTCGCCAGGGACAAGGCCGTGGGCTCCCAGGCCGTTCACCTGCCATGACGGTCTCCTCCGGGGGCAGCTGGCCCACAAATAGCTCCCCCCGCTCCAGCAAGGCCCCGAACAGGCGGCTGCACGCGCGCACCGCATCCTGGATCTCCTCCGGGTCCTCCGCCTGCGGGGAGAGGCCGGTCTCAGGGAGCCCCGCGGGGCCCGGCGGCCCCCACTCAGGTTCCCCATTGGGACTCCGCCCCATCGAACCACAACCATGATCCCAGCGGGACTCTCCACCCACCTCTGTCGGCCGCCTCCCGCCGGACCCTCCAGCCGGGCCCGCGCGATGAGAGCAGGACCCCCCCCCCCCCCCCCCCGTGAGGCCCTGGGCCCCGCCTGGCAGCCCGGACTCCACCGAGGCCCAGCCCCGGGGCCCTCAGCCGGCCTCCGACCCCGCGATCGCGGCCGCCCGCCCAGCCGCACGCCGCACCTGCAGCACCGCCAGGATGTCGAACACGGCGTTGGCCTCCGCGCGGTCCGCCAGCACCGCCTCCAGCAGGCGGCCCAGCGCCCGGCGCGCGCCCCTGGGGCCGCGGGCCCGCTCCATGCCGCCGCCCCACGCGCGAGAAGCCGGACCCACGCGCCGACTTCCGGCGCAGCACTGACGTCACGGCCGCGCCTCCGCCGCCAAAGCCGCTTGCCGGGACGCGCCCCGCCCCCTGCCGGTGCTCCACCAATCAGAGACTGGGACTCCCTGTGCGTCTCCTGTCGTCATCGCCGTGCGCCCGGCCGCAGAGACGCGGGCTGCAGGCATGGCGCTCTTCCATGTAGCGCGGTACGCGGGGCCCGAGGCGGCCGGGGCGGAGGCGGAGGCGGACGGCCGGGCCCGCGCGCTGCTGGAGCGGCTGCAGAGCCGGGCCCGAGAGCGGCAGCGGCAGCGGCAGCAGCAGTCGCGGCAGCAGGAGGCTGAGGCGGCCGCGCGGACCGAGCCCGCGCCGGGGAAGCGGCGGCGGCGGCGGCGGCCGCGGAGGTGCAAGGGCGGCGGGGCGCCCGGGAGCCCGCAGGCCCCGCGCAGCAAGCGGCGGAGAGAGGACGGCGAGGAGGCCGGCGCAGGTGGGCCCGGCGGGGCGGGGAGGGGCCGGAGCGCGGGCCGGGACCCGGGTCTGCCGGAGGCTGACGCGCCGCCCCTGCCCGGCTTCCGCCCCGCAGAGAGCAGCGAGGAGGCGCCGCGGGAGGGCAGCGTGGACGCCGAGGCCGCGGGGCCGCCCGAAGCCCCAGGGGAACAGCCCCCCGACGCGGCCGGTGCACCCCCAGCCCACCCCCTGCTGCTCGGGGGCTTCGGGAGGAGCAGGGCGCCGAAGGTGAGCGGCCTGGAGGTGGGGCGGCCGGGATCGGGGTGCGGAGCTGCAGGGTTGGGTGGCTGCCGTCAACCTAGTGGCGCTCCGTGGGATAGTTGGGGGGAGGGCGCCTGCGCCTCAGCTTGTATCTTATAGGGTTTTCTTGTTGAAAACCCAAGCCTGGGGACATTTTTTCCATTTTTTTTAAGGAAGAGAGTGGGAGGCGTTGGGGGAGAGAAGCATGGATGTGAGGGCGAGACACACGCGTTGGTTTCCTCCCTCTCCTGCCCCGCCTGACCTGGGCAGGGACAGACCTGCAGGCCGGGTGTTGCTCTGGCATCGAAGCCGTGACCCTTCTACGTGTGGACTGATATTTTAGTCCCTGAGCAACACCAGCCACCCCAGGGAAAGCCTCTGCGGCCGCGCTCCCAGGCAGGTGGGGAGCCGTCACCTGGCTCCCATTTCTTACCTTTTGCCGTCACAGGTCCAGCCTTTCCTGCCGACGTGGCTGGCCGAGCCGAGCTGCGTTGGGAAGAACGTCACCGAAGACCTGGTGCCTCTCGAGGACATCCCCGAAGTCCACCCTGACCTGCAGAGGAAGCTGCGAGCCCACGGCATCTCGTCCTACTTCCCAGGTGCTCCAGCCTCGGGCCGGGGGCCGGGGGCCTTCCGGAGCCACGGGGGCAGCCCTGCACGGACACAGCCCTCGGGCGAGCACTCCAGCTCGAGATCATGCATCGGCCCCGGTCCCTGTGTGAGCCTGACGGGCCCCCTCCCCCCGCAGTGCAGGCGGCAGTCATCCCTGCTCTCCTGGAGAGCGCGGCCCATGGGTTCCTGGTGGGCAGAGGCGGCTACCAGCCCAGGGACCTCTGTGTCTCCGCCCCGACGGGCAGCGGGAAGACCCTGGCCTTCGTCATACCCGTGGTGCAGGTGAGCGTGGGGCCTCCCTCCCTGCAGGCCGTGGGCGGGGGCCGGCCGGCCGGCGGGCGGGGTCCAGTGCCGCTCACACCGGCCCTCCTGCCCCGCAGGCCCTGCTGCAGCGAGCAGTGTGCCAGGTGCGCGCCCTGGTCGTGCTGCCCACCAAGGAGCTGGCCCAGCAGGTACGAGGGCCCCGGGCTGGGTCGCCCCAGAGCCCTGGGGCGCCTCGGGCGGGCGGGCGGTGACGCGGTGTCCTGCAGGTGAGCAAGGTGTTCCACGCCTACACGGACACCACACCTCTGCGCGTCGCCCTGGTCACCGGGCAGAAGTCGTTGGCCAAGGAGCAGGAGAGCCTCGTCCGGGAGACGTAGGTGCTGCTGGGCCTGGGCCCCAGGGGGGCAGGCGCAGGAGGGCATAGCCCGGCTCGGGGCCTGGGGGCCTGGCTGAGTGCTCTCCGCTCGGCAGGGTGGACGGCTTCCGCTGCCTGGCTGACATCGTGGTGGCCACTCCCGGCCGCCTGGTGGACCACGTCGACCAGACCCCGGGGTTCAGCCTCCAGCACCTCCGCTTCCTGGTAGGCTGCCCCCCTACCCCCCACCCTAGCGGAGGCTCGGGCTCTGCCGAGGCCACGGCGCCCACCTGGCATGCCTCCTCGTCGACAGGTCATCGACGAGGCCGACCGGATGATCGACAGCATGCACCAGTCCTGGCTCCCCCGTGTGGTGGCGGCGGCCTTCCCAGGGGAGGGGGCCAAGGACCCCTTTGCTCTGCTCCAGAGACGGCGGCCCCAGGTCGTGACTGCTGCCAGGTACTGGCCCCAGCTCGGCCCTGCCCTGCCCTGCCCTGGGGGAGCACCCGGTTGGTCTGTCTGGGTCGGGGCGGGCAGCCAGCCCGGCTGTGCCCCAGCGTCTGTGCCCTTCCAGCACCTGCTGCCCTCAGATGCCCCTGCAGAAGCTGCTCTTCTCAGCCACGCTGACCCAGAATCCGGAGAAGCTGCAGCAGCTGGGCCTGCACCAGCCCTGGCTTTTCTCCACGCGAGCAGCGCGCGGGGCTCCCGCAGGCACCAACGTGGACGCGGACGCGGACGCGGACGCGGGCGGGAAGTACACCTTCCCTGCAGGGCTCTCGGTGAGCTGGGTGCACGGGGTGAGGGGGAATGGGGAGGGTGGCTCCCGGGCGCTCAGGCCGAGCCAACCCCACGCTGTCCCCCAGCACCACTACGTGCCCTGCCGCCTGCGCTCCAAGCCGCTGGTGGTCCTGCACCTGATCCTGCACCTGGGCTGCTCCAGGATCCTCTGCTTCACCAACTCCCGGGAGAACTCCCACAGGTGAGGCCGGGCAGGCCGTGCGGGGCAGGGCGGGGCGGGGCTGTGGGAGGCGCGCTCTGCCCACCGGCTCTCCCTCCAGGCTCTTCCTGCTCGTCCAGGCTTTCGGTGACGTGACGGTGGCCGAGTTCTCCTCCCGCTACGGGCCCGGCCAGAGGAAGGGGATCTTGAAGCAGTTTGAACAGGGGAAGATCCAGCTGTGAGTGCCCTGGGAGGATGCTTGTTCCAGTGTCTGCCTGGCCCCCAGTGTGTCTGTAGGGGGCGGGGGGCTTCCAGTCTCAGGCAGGCCCACACCCCTCGCTCCTCAACAGCCTCATCAGCACAGATGCCACTGCCCGCGGCATCGACGTGCAGGGGGTGCAGCTGGTGGTGAACTATGACGCCCCCCAGTACCTGCGGACCTACGTGCACCGGTGAGGGCTGTGGCTGGATTGGGGAGGTCGCTGTTCCTGGGGGCCCGCTCTCAGGCGCCACCGGTGAGGGCTGTGGCTGGATTGGGGGGGATTGGGGGCCCGCTCTCAGGTGCCACCGGTGAGGGCTGTGGCTGGATTGGGGGGGGTCGCTGTTCCTGGGGGCCCGCTCTCAGGCGCCGGTGCTTGGTTTCAGGGTGGGGAGAACGGCTCGAGCTGGGAAAACTGGACAAGCCTTCACGCTGCTGCTCAAAGTGCAGGTCAGGTGAGGACTGGTGGGGAGGCGGGGCAGGGAGGATAGGAGCCCCTTCCCGGAACTCGGCATGCTCCCCCAGGAGAGGCGATTCCTCCGGATGCTGGCGGAAGCCGGGGTGCCCCAGCTGGAGCGCCACGACACGCCCGGCGAGCTGCTGCAGCCCCTCGTCCCGCGGTACGAGGAGGCCCTGTCCCAGCTGGAGAGGGCCGTCCAGGTGAGGCCCCGCGGCTCTGGGAGCCGCAAGCTGCTCCTCGGGAGGAGGTCCCGGCTGAGGGCAGGAGACCCCGGGCCTGGGTGGAGGTGCAGGGCCCGGGAGGGGGCTGGGCGGGGTTGAACACTAGGCAGGGGCCTGGAGCTGAGTGCTTGCTTTCCTCCCCCAGGAAGAATCGAGGCAGAAGGCGGCCTAGGTTGGGCTCAGGATGATGGGATGAGACCTGGCCGGGTGGAGCCGCCGAGCGTGGTTGTGAGCCGGCTTGCTCGTGCTCTGGCGTCTGGAATGCAGGACTCCTTCAGCCATCATGCGGCCTCCCGGCTTGGCAGGGCCTTGAACCTGGTGGTGGGGGCCTGCCTGCCTCTGAACTACCACCTTGGGGAGGTGGTGCCAGGCTGCTGCTGCACTGCCTTTGGGGCCGCGGGCACCTGGACCTGAACGAGGGGACCTCTCGCAGGACGACTGCTCTCGGGTCTGAGGAAGGCTTTCTTTCCTCTGGGTTCATGGACACTCCTGCTCATGAACAGTTTAGGCTCTGCCTTTGTGACCAGAACACCTATTCAAGTTACTTCCCCCCAGACGTAAAAAAAGCACCCAAATACCAAGAAGTGCGGGAGCCCTGGCTGGAACAGCTGTGGACCTGAGTGTCGGCCTGTGGGCTGAAGGGTCCTGGGCCTGATCTGATCAGAGCACACGCCTGGACTGTGGCTCGATCCCGAGGGGGCCTGCAGGAGACAGCCGACCCATGAGTCTCATCACTGATGCTATTTCTCCTCCCCTTCTCACAAACCAATAAAAATGTATTTTAAAAAGTGCCATGAGCGTGAGAATCGCCGCTGGTTCTGAGTCCTCCACTGCGCAGAGGGGGTCGCAGCCCCAGCTTGCGTTCCCTGTCCCTCCCTCAGCGCCACCTGCACCCACCGCCTGCTGGGAGCCTCACCGAGCCCTCTGCCAAGTGCCCGAGACAACCAGCATCTTCCACCCCTTTCCTGGGAGACGAGAGGAGAGCGAGAGCATATGAAAAAGTCGTTTATTAAGCCTTTCTGGAGGGGGGGGCATCAGTGCTCTTCAAAACCCTACTGTTCAAGTACAAATGATTGTTTACAAAGTATTTACATCTCAGTCTCTAATCTCAAAACACAACAACTATTTGGTTACAATACTTAAAACCCTAACGGAAAGCCCCACGGGCACCACGTCTGCTTGCGGACCAGCTCCTGCCTCCCTGGCCTGCGCCCACAGCCCGCCTTCTCGGACTGGGCTCTGGGGAAGCCTGCTCCGGGGTGTGTGTGTGTGTGTGTGTGTGGGGCTAAAACCCCTCCGGAGCCCACACCAGCTCCTGTGGGAAGGTCTCCCTCTGAAGTAAGACTGGAAGGAGGGTGTTTGCCGCCGTGAGCCCCGCGGGACGGGACGGGACAGTCCGTCCCCGCTTCGCGGCGGAGCGGCTGAAGGAAGCGCCCGAGCGAGGCTCCTCCAATAGCAGCTGCCGCTCCACTGGCCGGCGGCTCCCGGGAGCTCTGAGGGCAGCCTGAGTGCGTCACCGTTTCACGGAGGGGCTGCCAGCGCCCTCGGCAGACCAGGAACGCCAACTGCACATCATTAGCCAGGAACACCTCTGCGCGTGGCTCTGCACACGACGACGGGGGTCAGAGAAGCAGGAGGTCCCGCGACGAGGGAGCCCGCTGGCTGGTAGCAAACCACCCACAGGCCTGGCTAAGGTCGTTTCCATACATCCAGGCCCCTGAAATGTGTCTCTTCTTTCAGCGCCGTTTTTCCTTTCCTCCGATCTCTCCCGAGCTTCACTCACTGCCCCCTAGGGGTCGCTGCACTGCCATGCACACAAGCGGAATCGGTGCGGACAGAAGCCGTCCTGCAGAGCGGCCAGTGGGGAGGGCAGGAGAGCCATGCGGCTCCGGACACTGTAGCTCATCTCAGCGCGCATGGCCCGACAACCCACGTGGAGCGAGGCAGATGCCCCAGCGTCCATGGGGAGCACTGCCAGGGCAGACGCCACCAGCCAGACGTGTCCACTGCAACCGCTGCCATCGCGCCTGAGAAGACACAGATGGTCTATCTGCCCTCAACCATGGTTCGCCTGGCACGCAGCACGATGGCACGCACCTGCTGGTGGGGGAGGCCCCGGCATGGAAACCTGAGCTCGTCTATGGGAAATGCCACAGCAGACCACCTGTGAGAGCAGGTTCCCAGCTCCGCAGACAGGCCGGCTGGGCACCTCTCCCTGAGCCCCATGCCATGCACACGCACACGCACACACACGGGCCGTGACACCTGCAAAAAGCACCTGCCTGGGCCCCGACCACGGGAGCCAGGGCCTCGGCTCCTGGAGCTGCCTCAGCGCCACGTCTAACGCGGGGAAGGACCGAGCTGCGCTGGGATGGGGAGCGGCTGGCAGGCGCCAGCTGCACGGGAACAAGTCACATGGCTCCTCTTTGGAATGAAGTTCGATCCCAGCGTTGTCCTCCACGCAAGCCGGGTACGCACCAGAACCGCCTCGATGGCACGGGACCAGGTGGCTCCTGGGAAGGTTCCAGCGAGTCACACGGAGCAGAGAAGGAAGCAGCCCTGGTGGTTTCGGGTCTGAGTGGACCGACCGCAGGTGGCCGCTCCTCCAAGCACCCTGACGCGTTTCTGTTGGGTCTACAGAAGCACGCGGGCCAGCACGGCTCTGCCCACGACGTGCCCGGCTTCAGGAAGTCACGGGCACGCACTGCCGTTGGAGTCGCCTGTGGTGTGTGGCACACAGGGCGCTGTGGTCCTGGAGACTCAGGCCCAGCCCTGCGGCTCTGGAAGCGGCAGGACCCCGGGAAGCTGCCAAGGTGCGCCTCCCACCGGTCTGCACGGAAGCTTCGCTCGGCCGGAGCGCGCGCTGCGGATGCTCCACTCGCTGCCGCTCTGCAGGGCTGAACCTCACAGGGGAGGACGTGGGCCCCGTCCCACAGGAAGTGCGCCTGCCGGTTCTGGCCCGAGGCGCCCGCTTCCTGCCTAGGGGCATGGAGGCTTGGTGGGAGTCTTTAACCGGACGGCGGGGACTCGCATCTGTAACTTGGGCTGCTGGTTGGGGCTGTCGGCGCCGGCCGGCACCTGGGTGGGGTTGGGGACGCCCGGGCTCTGCAGCTGGGCCGCCGCCGTGGTCACCACCTGCTGCTGCAGGAGCTTCTGCTGGACCACCTGGGCGGCCGCTGTCACCGCGGGGATCATCTGCACCTGCTGCCCCGCCGCCGCCTGCGTGAGGGTCACCGTCTGCGGGGAAGCCTGGCCGAAACAGAAACATCACCTATCCTGGGTGCAGGCCAGCTGCCTGGCAAACCACGCCCCGGGCCGAGGTTAGACAGCGTGGATTCTTTGGAGAAATGTGAAAACAGCCCGCGTGTTGGAACATGGCCACTGGGCTAACCAAACAAGGAGAAGACGAAACCGTTGGTGCTGAAGCGATGCCCCGGGAGAGCGAGGCCGAGGGCTGGGACTGGTCAGGCTGTCCCTGGAGCCACTTGGACATCAGCCCTGACGGGGTGTGTGGAGGCAGACGAGTCCGACACAGACTCTCAGCTGCTCAGCTGGTGCTGCCCCCACACCCACGCTGCTCAAGGGTCGACTGGCTTTGATTTCTTGAAATACACACTCTGTGGTTCTGAAAATAAAGATGCGGGAAGGCCATTTCATGCGCCACATTTTGTGGAGGAAATAAATGTGACAGCCACCCGCCAGGCTGTTCTCAGTGGTCACACCTGCAGTTCCCCTGCGGCCGAGCACACCACTGAGCTATAAGGGAGTGCCTTCGGCCCTGAGTCTGAGCGTCTCGTATGGTGGAAATCAGAGTGATTCTCTATAATCAGAATTCCCCTTTCTCAGGAGAAAAACCAGGAACTCCCACGGAGGCTGCTGAGAAGCCCCGTGGGAACTTCCCGAGGGCTGCCCTCCCGCACCTACCTGCTGGGAAGCGGAGGCGACCTGTGGGATGCCAGCCACCGGGGTCTGCTGCTGCACCACCTGAGGGAGCTTGGCCACCTGGGACAGAACAGAGAAGCACGTGCAGGATTCACAAGGACATACGCACAGAAAGATGCCCTTTCTTTCCTTCTCGGTGGTTCATTTCAAAACCACCGATGACAGGAAAGACCTTGGTCACGGGGGCTCGCCTGGCAGCAGAGGCCTCCGAGCTGATGCTGACCATCCTCCCGTCTGCAGCCACGTGTAACTTGGTCTCACACGGAGTTCACGAGAGGACGAAGGATGAAATGACATCCTGGCAGTTCACGGATCTCAGAGCCCCTTCTTCAAGTCTGGGCGACCTTCCAGGTTGGGGGGCGGCCCGAGCGGGGGGGGGAGCAGGGGAAGTGATTCAGCCAGTGAAGCTGTGGCCCTCGCTGTCCTGGGTGCCTGGCTGGCTGCTGCTCACCTGGATCTGGGTCTGCACCTGCTGCGTCCCGGCCAGCTTCTGGGCCTGGGAGATGGGAGTGGTGAGGAACTGGGTCTTCAGGGCTGGCTGGGTGGCATAGGTGACCTTCTGTGGCTGGCCCTGAGCAGCCATCTGCTGGGCGGTGATCTGAAGAGACGCCAGGGTCAGGGCCACAGGCCGTCCCCTCTGCACTCAGCCTTGCTCCTGCAGCTGCCCGCGGTGCCCAGCCGGGTCACGCGCCTCTCCCCACCCCGAGTCCCCTCGTGCCCAGAGGTCAGCCTGCTGAGAAGGCTTCTGCGCTGAGGCCTCCATCAGTTCAGTGCAGCCTCCCCTTCCCCCCTCGAGCATCCCCAAGACCAGGTCCCCACCTGGATCCTCGGTTCTGTGCACTAACGCCCAGGTGGGTCTCACACTAGGATCTGCAGCTGCTTCTCCAAACCCCGTAGCCCTTAACGATCCTCACTGTTCCCCAAAGGCCCTCAGTGAACACAGCTTCCCTCCCACCTCCCCCTGCCCGCCCGCGTGCCCCCGGGGAGCCTTGGAGCAGCACCAGCATCCAGGCCACCCCAAATGCAGGGCCTTGGGGTTCCCTGGGTGGGTGTCAAGCAGCGAGGCAGGGCCCACTGGGACCCCGTCCTCTGCACCCTGTGCCTGGTGGCAGGGCCTGGCTCAGCACAGGGTGACCCGAGCCCGCAGGAGCCAGTACCTTCTGCTGGACGGCGGCCGGGCCTGGGGTGGCCTGGGGCTGGATGGCCTTCTGCTGCTGCACGGCCTGCTGCTTGAGCTTCAGCAGCTGCTGCACATGCACAGGCTGGGCCACCACGGTCTGGCCTGCAAACACCATCGAGCCGGGAGTCAGCGCGGAGGCAGGCTCACTCATGTTCCCCGCGCTTACCCGAGTCACTGAGCTGTGCAGACTGGCTGCGTCTACAAGCACGGCTCCCTGACCTGCCAGGCGGGCAGGCGTCTCCACACCCCGAGATGCTCCTCGGCTGCCAGGACACTCGCCTTCCCGCCTCCCGGCACACAGACGGCTAAAATCCTGCAGCTCTCCCAACAATACCGTTCACCAAACTGACCCAAACAGGTGCGGCGGTGGTTCCCTCACGTCGATGACTAGGTGGCTGTCAGTTTGACAATCGAGGCAGGGGAGTGGGGAATCATTTGGGCTGGCCCTGCCACGGCACTGGGGTGAGTTAATTGTTGGGCCGAATGCCGCAGGCTCGCCTTTAAGCTGGTGACACTGTCTGGCCTGTGAACAATGCCGTTCGGTGTAAGTGGCCCTGACCTGAGGGGAAGGGGGTCAGTGCCTGATGGCAGAGGCCATCACTGCCAGTTAAACCCCCTGTGGCAGAGCGGCTGGAAATGGCTGAGATGAAGGGAAGGGAAGTTCCAGATGTTTACAGTCAATTTGAGGGTCAAAACTTGTACTCGGGCACCGTGAGACGCTTGTAGCGCACACACGGCGCTGGGAACGGTGTCTGGTGAGGGAGCCGCGTCCACAGGAAGCAGTCAGCCCCCCCCGGCCCCGGGCGTGGCAGGCACCTGTGGCTTTCTGCGGCTGCCCGATGGCCACGCTGATCCCGGCAACGTTCATGGGCAGGGTCGTGACGCCTGGCGAGGAGACCACGGCCGCGGGCACGGACACCACCGGGGGCTTCGCCAGGGCCACCTGAGCCGGCGGGGGCGCCTGCGCCTGCATCTGGCCTTGCGCCTGCAGCTGCGACGTGGGGACCCGCGTCTGAACAGG